TAAGTGAAAAGTACCACTAAAACGGTGCCAGTAGAAAGAACATTATATTTTTTAATGTCTTTTGTTCAAAATTTCTGATTAAACTTCAGCAAAGACCTTTGTTACGGTGATTAAAGAACAGCCGATTATAGGTTCTAGCTTCGTTATTTCTTCTATATATAGCTTCTACATTGTTTACTTACCTTCTGTGGTTGTCTAAATGGCTAATCTAGATTGAATCTCTGAAAACAGATTGCTGAGCAGTCTAATCGAGATCGGAGGAGAATTTTCAATAATAAACAAAAACATATTTGTAGGCATTATCAGTAGAATGACGTTACTGCAGAGAATTGATAGATACAGCGTCTATGAGTAGTTGAGGTAACCGTAACTGAGGAACCGTTTTATCAGTCTTCTTTTGACGGTTAAGGTCTATGTAGAGAAGTGGCGGCTTGCTGGAGAAATCAGAAATTTTTTAGGTGAACTAAACTCCAGAAATGAACTTTTGTGACTGAGATAGAAGCCTTCAAGTTTTGAAGGCTAACCATTATTGCAATGGTTCAAATTTTTGTTCTATGAACGGATATACAACTACAGCTACAAACATAGGTGAATTTTAGAAGCACAACCAATTGCCCTGAGCAGAATTAGATTTTTGTAACGTTTATGGAGGTATATAAAAAGAATGGATGAACAGTATCGCATGTCTCTTTCGGCAGTTCTTTGCCTGTTGAACGTAAATAGAGGTATTTTAGAAGTTGCCATACATAGTAGCAACCAGCGAGCTATGCTGAGGTTTTTATCACGCATCGTTTATGACACACGGTGGCCAGAATACGTTTCTAGTATGCAATATACAATGAAAAATTAGTTGTCTGAGAAATGGTAAACAGTTTGAAAGGGTAATGGAATAAAATTTGTCTTCTTAACTTCCACTATTTCTCTCTCCTCATTTGCAATAAAATTTTAAATCTTCTAACAAGGTCGACAGTGAGGTTTTGTGCCAAAGAACTTCTTTTTTTTAAGCTTGTATTATTAGTGTTTTAAAGTTCAAGTTAACAAAAAATCAAAGACTACTTTTTTGACAATCTAGTAATTTTTTTCTCCTTTTTCGGTTTCTGAGTTTATTTTTTTTACTTTTGCTCTGTCTAAATAAAACTTTTTTTCATGAACATTTAAGAGCTTCAAGTAAGTTTCACGTAAACATTAATGAATTTAAAGCAAACAAAAACTTGGATAGTTATATTGAAAATAATTATAAGTTTTTTTTTTGACATTTCTTTTAATAGTCTGTCGGAATTATTAACCTTACGAAGGGAAAGGAGTTGTACAAGGAAGCGCAAAGTTGCTTGTTTGTTTGGCTCAAGTTTGATATTACTTCTACATTCCTATCCGCTGAGTTTTTTCCTTCAGCTTTTTCTTCGCATTGGAAATGATTAACTGTCGGGTGTAGTGCTGATGACAGCAGTTCAGTTAGTTTGTTCAGATTTGTTTGAAGATCAGGTGATGAAAATATTGTGTGTTGTTTTGAATGTACAAATTGCTGGCTGTTTAAAAATTTGTCTGCTTCCACCTGATAAGTGCATTTAAAAAGTGTTAAAAGGTACCTCAAATTGAAAAAAATTTCTAGCAGTTCAACAATAACATGCTTAATGACAAATATGTTGTTTGGTACTTAGCAAAATAGTTTGATGGTAGTAAAAGGTTTGGCAGTAGTACCTTTTGGTGTTGTTTAATAGATGATACCTGGAAAGAAAATTGGGGGGAAAGAGGCTGGGAGTGGAGTTTTTTCTGTACGAAAGCCCTATTCTCCTTGTCATAAGATTATTTCTTCGTTTCATCATCATCACCATCATTTGATTTTACTGCTGTAGTTTTTTTTTGCTGGAGTATCAGTCAGTTTAATCGTTTGTTAGTGTTACCAACTTATCTATCTGTCTATCTACGTCTGTTCAAAAACGAGAAAAATAAAAAAAGTTATGTTATCAGCATTATTAAGCTTTTCAGGAATAATTTTCACAGTTTTTGTTATCAAATTAATTTCAATTAGGTTGCTTCAAGTTCTTCGTTGTTCTCATTTTGTTGTTCTTGTTAGTTTTCTTTTTTTCTTGCTGTCCTAGTAACAGTAGAGACAAGAATAACAGAAAGAAAAAAAAAACATGAAAACTAATGAATGGTTTTAGCAGCTGCTTCAGTAGGCAACTGTAGTCAATTAAGGGTTTTTGGTGTTGATGTTGTTGCTGTTGCTGCTGCTGCTGCTGCTGCTGCTGTTGATGTTGTCTTTGTTGCTGCATCGGTTTTTTTCGTAATGCAAACGTAACTGGCACGAAATGTATTTTTTCGATCATTGATTTCTTCTATTTGAGAATAAAAAATAATGCAAACACATATCACAGATACATATAGTCGTTACTCTTAATAGCTTCAACTTTAAAAAAGAATTAAGCTTGACAAAAAGAAAAAAGAACCTCTTTTTAAAAGACTATTTTAGACCAGAATTATGAAAACAAAAGAAAAAAAGAGTGGGAGAATACTGGGGAGAAGAAGGGGAGGGGGAGGCGCAAAGTAGTTTTTTTAAAGCTACTTCACGATAAACTGGTAAATTTTCTTTCTTTTTATCTTTTCTTCATTATTTTTGTTTCGTTCTTCTCTACTTACAACTTTTTCATCTCCTTTTACCGTCATTCCATTTTGCAACCCCCCTCCCCTCGCTTCGTTCCTTTCCTCGTCCGCTAAATCTCTTCTTGAATAATTTGGTTCTGAAAATGACGTTTTTTCCTTTTTTTTTTTTCTGTTATTCTGTCGAAACTTTTTTCTTGGTTTTTTTTTGAGTTTAATTAAATGATTTAACTAAGTTTGACCCTTTATTGTTGTTGCCGTTAATGCTGCCATCGCTTTTCAGTAGGTTTCCTTATATTCCCTTTTGATGTTTACTTCCTATTCCACTTGAACAGTGAGAAAAAAAGATGTCCTATTTGCCTTAAATCTGCTATTTTTTGTCAGCTGAAAATCTGAACAAGTTTTTACTTGTTTTTCAGTTTTTTCTTCATAGTTTTGTTTTTTTCCTACTTCCAGCGGTGATCAATCTGCCAATCGACAAACATTATACCAACATAATGAAGTGATTGTTTACCAGAAACAAGACAATGGCGGAAAAAGAAAATGTTAAACATGTCTGGTCAAAGTGTTAGGAAGCGAAAAATGAGAATGTGAAAAAAATGCCTCTAACATGTAATGTATATAAATTTTTCAATATTATAAGAGAACTATAATTTTTTTTGATATTCATTATTAACTGTTTTTTTTTTGTTTAAAATTGATAGGACTGGTGAGAGGAGGCAGTATGAAAGTTAAGGGGATGCTCAGTTGATGAAAATTCGCAATGAACGACAGGAGCAAAGGCAGCATTCAGTTATCCAGGATGAAACATTACTCACTGTTTGTCTCAAAACTGTAAAATTGCTTTAAATGGCTGGATGGATGAATGAACGGATGACTGAATGAGTGGGCAAATAAATGACTAAATAAAAAACTTTTTTGGTATATATATCTGTTTGGATGTTTTAATGCTATAAATGGTTTTAAGGGTAGAGTGGGAAAACAGCGGGAGGGAAGAAAGAGGAGAAAAAACTAAAAGGTTTCCGGCAGTTAAGTGGTGGTTTTTTATTCGGTTGGGTAGTTGGCTTTACGGGTTATCTGAACATGAAGGAATCTGATGCTTTTCATGCAAATGCCATTATCAGAAGCCAGTGGTTTATTTCTCTGTTATTATTTATTCAATATATACTTTAAATATAGCATTTCGTTTTATCTTTTTGTTGTGTCATATATTTATAAATCCAATGAAATTTACCGTGATATACGTCATTGCTTGTGTGGGGATGGATGAAGCAGAAGAAAAAAGGACTGATAAATACGCTGTGAATTCATCATTAATTTCTTCTTGCTGGAGTTCTTTTACATGCGACTGAGATGTAAATAAACTTAAAATCATTTTCAGGATATCTATCTGTTGGAACAAATAATTGCTTGTCATTAAGAAGATAAAGTATTTACTGAATATTGTATGCTTTATTGCCTGGAAAATCGAAAGGGACAACCTACTTTATTTAGAACGAAAACCAGTGACTGAAAATATTGAACGACCAAGGAATTTTTATTAAGAAGTCTGTTATTTATGTGTTTGTCTATGTTTTTAAGTGTATGAAAGGGCGTACACAATTTTGCAAACGTGTTTTTTTTTTTTTTTTTGGTTTCGATTTAATCTCTTTTAAATGAAACTTTTGCGTAATAATAAGTTAAGTACGTTTGGAAACAGAGAAAGGTTTCAGCCTATCTATTAGTTTTTATTTGGAAAAATAAATAATATTATTTGATCAAAACAAAAATTGGTTATGAAACCTACTGGTAAAGCTGGTAACTAGGGTTAGCTAAATCACGTGAATATGTGCCTTCTGAACGGTAATCAAGCAAAAACGATATCTAAAAAGTGAATGAAACTCAGGGAGAATGGTGACAGTGGCAGAATAAAAGAAATCTTCTTTTGTTCGTAGACGTTGGTGATATTAATTTGGTTGCGAAGGGAGGAGGGGGAAGAGAGGAAGAAAGGTAACAGAAGCGTCAAAAACTTGTTATTTTGACTGTTGATGCTACTGTTGTCAAATGAACTACAACTTGCATTAAATGGGTGGTGAGATATAGTAAGAAGAGAGAGGAGAGAAGCAAATTGAAAAGATGTTGTAGCTTCTTTCCAGTTTTCGCACGGATTCTTAAAAATATTGCAGTGAAGATTTCATTTTAATTTTTTTTTTGTGAAAATATTATGTTACACATGATCTTCGGTCTGCCAGTCGACCTCATCGTTGACTCATTTAGTTCCAACGACAATCAGACCTTGGCAACACAGAACCGGGAACATTTAACAGAATAAATGTTAAAATTTCAAGTAGTATTGGGAATATAATTTTTAGGATGCAAAATTTATTTTGTGTAAGACATAGACTTATTAAATACTGTTTTCAATGAGACGTAGAGAAATTGTTTTTTATTTTTCTAATTTGTTCTTGCTTTTTGCTGTTTTTTGGGCTTATGTCGAGCAGTATTGGAGTTGTGAGATCGGTGTAGATGCTGCAAAACTTGCAGCAGATTATACAGTGATGGCCCGTGAACTGCTTGATATGAATAAGAAGAAGAAGGGAAAAGAGACTTATTTGAAGTATGCTTGTGTGTAAGTGTGTTCGCATTTGTAAGAGTGTAATTGTGTGACAAAAGTTCAGTTTTTCAATGCTTAACTTTACGTTATTTTCTTTAACTGCATAATTAAATGTCATTGAGATTTGGTTCGAAAATGAGGAACGAGTAAAGCAGGAAAAGGAGAGAGATGTGAAGAGGTAACTGAAAAGAATCCAGAGAAGATGAGAGTTGGAAGATTGGGAGGATAGAGGTTGGGGAAAATCAAAAAGTAAGAAGGAAGTGAAGAGAAAAACGTCGGCAAACCTTTGAGAGCTGATTAAGACGTCATCTAATTACCGTTTTTTCCAAACTGTACAACAGTACGTTTAGGAAGAAGGGGGGGAAAGCTTTTTTTTTAATTTTTGATCGTTATTTTTTTTTGCTTCTCATCAAACCATGGTTACATCACGTCATCATCACGGTCACTAATCATTGTTTTCGTCACAGTTATGCATATTTGTTCATTGTTTTAGTGCATCGATAGTTCTCAACTGAGAGCGACAATTGTTTAAAAACAGCAACAACAACAACAAAAACAAAACAGGTTTTGCAATGAAGATCTCACAGAGTTTATGATATAACAGAGAGCAAATGGCGATGTCTCAAACACCAACTTATGATCAAAACTTCAACAAAAGTTAGTGCTTAACGATAATGATTTGTGTATCACAAATTGTCAGCGTTTTATTTGTTCGCATAAGAATTAAGGATTTGCATAGCAATAAAGAGTATTTCAAAGCAAACATCACTAAGAATCTAAAAAGAAAACTGCAGCTGTTATTTTGTCTGCTTGCGGTAAAAAAAATGGATTTAATGCATATTTTTTATCATCTTATCGCTAACATAGTAGCTAAGATATGTCTATCTGCTGGTAGACCCTAAAAAGAAAACAGCTCATTATCAGATATATGACAGTATTGACAAGAAATATTTTTTCATTTAGATCATCAGGTTCTACCTCCAATTCATGAAGCCCTACTGCCTCTGAGGCATAATTACTTTTCTTCTTCTCGTGTACGGGATACCGTTAATCATTCGCCAACGATCTGCCAACCAAAAACTTCTGTAGTAATGGAGAGTAAAAATTTTGACAGTAACCAAAATTTGTATTATCCAACAACGTCGTACAATGCAGCTGGAAACTCAGGAACAAAACCATTTTCACCTTCTCAAGGGACACTAACCGGTGTACAGACCGCGCCGAATACATCTTATTCTACAATTAAACCAACTATTAATTATACATCTGATAGCGACGTTATTGTTTATTCGGAACCCGCACCTTGTGTAACAGCAACAGACGGTAATACACCTTCACCGTACTACGCAGTAAATACAATACCAACCGTATCATCTGCCGGATTATCATCCGGTTCAGCAGTAGGACCGTTGCCGTCACCAACAACGGTTCCAGTGTTAGCATCGGTGGAAACACCTGATCAGTCGGCGGCACAACAGTGTTTTGGTAAGACTATAATTAGCAGCAGTGGTAACAGCAGCACTGTTCGTTCATTTTGATACATTAAAATTCATTCTCCGATTTATAGTTTTATCAAGTGTCATTATGATTTGGTCTAAACGTTTCCAAATTTCCTGCGGACAAGCATAATAAATTTGGGAAGCTGCTGGAAATGCTCAATTGCACCAAAATCAGCTTTTAGTCGCTGCAAAAATTTTTGCTGATGACACAGTGAACTTAATTATATGAAGTCAGAGCAAAACAGGGTTAATTTAACTTTAAAAGTTTATGCAAATAATCTGCGTTACAGAAGTTAACAACTCATTGAGTGTGCCGAGCTGCAATGTTGAGCAGACGAATCAGTGTCAAACTGTTGCTGTGGCTCCCGTGGTCCTGCCAAATAGTGGCGCTACCAGTAGTGTGATGAAAACAGCACATACAGTCGTTGAACCGGGTACCAATACCAAGACCAATTTCTGCTCTTCAAAGCAACGTTATTACGTTGCTAATACTGATGGTATATAGATAAGAATAAATAAATATCAGCTTTTTAAGATTCAGAATTATTATTTTTTTGCAACCATTTTACAATATGTATCTTTTTTCAACAAGACAAAAAAAAGAAGCTAAGGATGTTAAAATGGAATGTATTTTTCAATTAAACTTTTTGCAAAAACAACTGATGGAAACTAAGTGGAAAGTGGAGTAAACAAAATTTATCTTTTGATAACTTGATAAATCACAGGGGTTAAGAAAGAAAAGGAGAAAAAAAACTTTTTTTAATTATTTTCTTATAATTAAGTTTTCATTTATTTCATTCTCAACTGATGTCGCCGGCAAGCAAGCAGGGAAAAAACCTGTAAATTTTAAAACTACAGTCGCTGGCGGATTTGTGGTTGCAATTTGTTTCATTCACCATTAGTACACTGATAAATGTGCTTTCTGTTAATTTTTTTTTATTTTCTGTAAAAACGCAAATATTACAGCCAATGTCACCTCATTGACAAATTTAAAAGAGATCGGTGGAATTCAACAAACCGAACTAACATCAACACCGACAACTACCAGTACCGCTAACAGCACCTCTACTATCAGCAGTAACAAGAAAACAAAAAACGCTAGTGGTTTGGAACCTCTGTCATCTCAAAATCCGGCGCCACAGCAGTATCCATCACCAATCAGCCGTGCAACAACAGCAACAACAACGACAACAACGAAGCATGCTTTTTTTAAAAATTTTTAATATTTAATCTTATTGCTGTTTGGTACAGAAACTAGAGCAAATTTTTGTTTCTGACATAAATAATAATTTTCTTTATCTAGAATATTTAGTGTAGAACAAGCAATAAATTAGATTATATATTTGAAAGCAATCATTAATATGGTATATACATATACATCAGCAACAGTAAAACAATTGTTATTGCTCAGACTGATTACTTACTAACTGATCGTTATAGGACATATGAAACTTATGAGAGAAAATCACGTTCTAAAAAGGAAACAGAAAAAAGTTCAACAAATGTTGACGAGGAAGTTGCCAGGTTGAAATTTTTGTTCAATAATCCTACTTTTTTTTGGAGTAACAAATATTATGCAACTGTACTAATTTATTTTTATAAACGTCATTAAATTCGACAATAAACTTAAATACTCAATTATTGTTATTTTTCAGAAATGTAACAAAAATTTTGTGCGCTTCATTAAAACAAAAAAATCTGCGTAACTATCCAAATGGTCTTAGCGGCGTTGTATCAAATAGTTCATCGTTGATGATTCCGGGTACTAGCGGAAGTTTTGCCGATTGTAAGGCCACAGATTCCACTCCAATTGGTGTACTTCTTGGACGAAAACATATTTGTAATGCTTGTAATAAAGCATTTACGTCTCTACGTAACTTACAGAGGCATCGTTCCACCTGCAAATCTATATATTTTGCCTCAAATCCATCGGATTCTAAATGTACAAATGTCACTACTGTATCAACAGCGCCACCATCATCATCATCATCATCGTCGTCATCTTCATCACAACCTACAGCAATAGTAACAGTTCAACAACCTTCAAAGGTTTTTTATTACCAGTGATGATCACTGAAATTGTTTTTTGAATTTCTAACCACATAAATATATCATGTATGGTTATTCATTCTATCTATTTTTTCTGCTTTTTTTATTATTATTTTTATTTTTTTGCCATTGAACTTTTGCTGTAAATGTGTATCTTTCAAAATGGCTAAATTTTACATTTAATTGCCGTGTAAAAAAGGACTTTTTTTGACTGTGTGACTGTAAAGTATGTTTTTAGTTGCCTGGCAGAAATGAACCAGAAGATATGTCATCAAATACTTATAAAACAAACTGTCGAGTGGTATCAACTATGAATGTTTATAAGACCGATAAGAGTGACGATAAAATTGGTACAAAAAATAAAGAAAAAATTTTAAAAACCAACAACGGGTTAGTTTAATTTTTTTTAAATTTTTTATAGTTTTACTGAAATTGGGAACTAATGCCGCATGAACACTTTTTTTTTTTACTATACTAATAAATTTTTCGTTTCTTTTTTTTATTTTACTGTTTATTTTTTAATTTTTTTCTTTTTTCTTTTTTCTTTCAAAGTTTTGTATAATTACTAAGTACTACTATCATTTCAGATTTTTCTTTTGTTTCGAAACTGTATCTATCAATATTTATTTAAG